ACAGACCTCCACACAGAAGAAAGAAATTCCTTGTAAGCCTAATATATTTTATCTGCATTTCACAAGATACTGCAAAATTTACAAAGACTGTGCCAATTATAAATTTTGTCTCTCCTACCTGGTAGAAAAAAAAAAGTGATCTATAAGAAACAGCTATTTCTGAAGGAAAATTATTTCAGTGATGAAATAATTAGTTCTGTATTTAGAATAACTAGAAGTGTTAGATTATGTGTTCTCAGAAATATCAGAGAACACAATTTCTTTAAAATTAGCACTAGTATCTGTTAAATACTTCCGATTGTCCAGCAAATAATTTTGTGATACCCTTACATCTATTCACAGAAAGATTTCTCAAAGTGCCTGCAAGGGTCTTTTCATCCATATCATAACCATCATGAAATCAGAAGTTGATATTTATAACCTTACTGAAATCTCTATTTGAGGCACCAGCCACATAGTGATATTTCATTTCTCCTAGAGACCTACCTTCCACATATAAACAACATGAGCTTAGTGAAGCAGAAACCCCTGAACTCATCTGTGCAACATTACAAATTTCCTCTTGTTCCATTGGAGGGAATGATGCATCATAGTCTCAAGTAGAGCAGAATTGTCCCCCATGTGTCTCTTTTTGTCCAATGAATATAAAAAGAACCTCAACAAATAGCTCAAATGTAGACATCTGTGTAGCAAACAATTACATTTACATGAAATGAAATTTTACCCTAAGGGTCTATAATTGAAGTATAATTATATCCCTAAGTTACATGGACAGGAACCCACCCACATTCTTTAAACTACTGTTGGTGCTATTATTTATTTGCAGTGAGCTAGAACAAGCAGATTTGGATTAAGGTTAACATCTCATTGTACTTAGTCTCATTCAAATACTGTCTCAAAACATGAGACTCAGTTTAAGACAGAATATGAATGAGTAGAACACACAGAAGGGGGAAAGTGAAGAAACGCAATGGTAATATTATATGGCTATAGATTTTAACCATGAATTTGTATGCTTAAGCAGAAATCATCATTTATTTTCTCTGTGATGAATAAACCATAAATCCATAAATTGAGAGATACTAACAATCTCCACTGAGACTTACCTGGACAAGATTTCCTTCTGGCATGAAAAAATAGCTCAAGTAGCATTTGGCATGATGGAAAAATAGCTCAAGTAACATTTGGAGAAAAAACATATAAGCTTTACACAAGAGATACGGTGACAGTATTAATGGCAAATAACATAAACCACATTTTGTAAGTATCCAAAATATATTGAGCAAAATTTCAACATCCTTCCCTTCCCTTCCCTTCCCTTCCCTTCCCTTCCCTTCCCTTCCCTTCCCTTCCCTTCCCTTCCCTTCCCTTCCCTTCCCTTCCCTTCCCTTCCCTTCCCTTCCCTTCCCTTCCCTTCCCTTCCCTTCCCTTCCCTTCCCTTCCCTTCCCTTCCCTTCCCTTCCCTTCCCTTCCCTTCCCTTCCCTTCCCTTCCCTTCCCTTCCCTTCCCTTTGTTTTCACCACTTCTAGTCTCAAATAAAAATTCTTTGGAATGTTACCTCTATTTGTCATAATGTATCATTGTAAAACAGCCTCTGTAGCAACAGGTAGACTACTAAAGCTAGAGTACTATGCAGCTTAATGTCAGCTCGTTCTGCTGTGACAAGAAATTGTCTTGACTTGCCCTTGTGAAAGATTTGTGTAGTTTGCTAAAATGGATCCCAAATGAGTAGGGAGAGATGAAGGTGGAGGGGCCTGGAGTTGATGAAACACCCACTTTTGTCTCCTCTTACACCCCTATTTCCATTTTTAAAAAGCATGAATAAGAACAATAAAAGAATGAAAAACAAAACAGACTTCCAAATAGGAATGGATGAAAGCAAAACATTACAGATTGATCAAAAAACAGGAGGCCCCCAAGCAGTCTTCTGTGTATGCTGTGAAAAACATATATATATATGTATATCAGGAAATATGTGATAGCATATGGAGAGGTGGATGATAAAACCTCTCAAATAAAAAATCTGTAAGGGGCAAGATACCAAAATCTGCTGGAAAAAAAATGGTGAGATGCAGACACAGACCATATTTGGAAAAGCACCGGATGTACCTTACAAGCTTCCAAGCCCTTTTAAGTAATGAATTTGTGTGTTTTCCCTTTTGTCCTTTTTCTTTTTCTTCCAAAGGATGATTAGTTTCCAAGCATTACCAAAGTGTGCAAAAGTATTATGTACATGCAAAGACATTGCTAAGTGTTGTAGAAGTCTGTCATCAATTATATTTCAAGCAATTACTTTGATATCATCTTTCCTTTGTTTACAGTAGGCTACCATGAACAAGGATGTCCCTCGGGAAAAAGGATTTGGGGAGGGGAGAGAATATAGGAAGAAAAGGCTCTGAAAACAATATTTGGCTTGAAGCTTTTTCTAAGAAAAAAAAAAATGAATCATGCACAAAGTTTTCAGTGCAACAAAAGAAATCTTGTTAGCTTGCCAAAAAGGTTTGTTATAGCTATGACAGGAAACAGGAGAAAAAGAGGTGGGATCCAAAAGATTTTAAGAATTAAAAAAAAAAAAAAAGTCTGCAGATTTTGAAGTAGCTTCTCTAGTGTGCATGTTGTTTGTTGTTTTATTTTATTTTATTTTATTTTATTTTATTTTATTTTATTTTATTTTATTTTGTTTTGTTTTATTTTATTTATTTTATTTTATTTTATTATTTTATTTTTGTTTTTCCTTGGCAGATATGTTTTCTTTGGGTAGTTGATAAAATAATAATTGGTTCCATGTTCAGCACTGCTTTATCTTTGGCCTCAGTTCTTGAATGCAAGGAAAAAAGAATGTAGTTCACAGTCACACTTTTCCTTTTTTTTTTTTTTTTTTTGGTAACGATCTGAAGAATGCAAATATGATTCATTTCATAACAAGGAAATGATGCTGCAGCTACATGTAGAGCAGGGGTTCTTGCACTGCACTTGCTTGCATCCCACCATGCGCAGAGGAGAAGTGCCTACATTGGCAGAGCAGGGATGTCTGCACCTCATTTGGGGAGCAGAGGAGCTGGGAGATGAGCCAATCAGGGCTAAGGATGGGATCTGGCTTGTGCTGCTGCATCTAATCTCAGGTTTCTGGCAAATTAGCCAATTAAGAAAGTTGCAAATTTGTGGTGCAGACAAGTGAGAAATTCTGCAAGATCCATACTGGGACCTCTAAAAGGTGAGAGGATCTTGGTAGGCTGTGCAATGACAGTATCTCTTTCTTCCAACTACCAACTATGCTTCTCTACAGTCATGGCAGTGGCTGCCTTCACTCTGTTAAATGAGGAAGCTTTTAGCTTTCTGGAATAACATTAAGTGGTGTACAGCCTTAACACAATCTTTATAAACCACCACAGACTCAGATGTGTAGTAGGTTTACGTGGCAAGGATTTGGTAGCATGGGGCCATAGGGGTGGATTCTGTGAAAAAGATCTAGAAGCTGCCCCATGTTTGGTAAGGGTCCCACTGCTGACCAGAGCTGAGCAGAGCTGAGCTGAGCTCTTACAGAGCATATTTAAAACAGGGAAAACAAACAAACAAACAAATAAACAAAATGCTGTGCCACACAGCAGCTGGGAGAGTGAGAGGAGCGAGGAACAGCCTTGCAGGCACCAGGGTCAGTGAAGAAGGAGGGGGAGAGGTGCTCCAGGCGCCAGAGCAGAAGTCCCCTGTGGCCTGTGGTGAGGACCATGGTGAAGCAGGATGTCCCCCTGCAGCCACTGGAGTACCACGGTGGAGCAGGGTTCTATGCTGCAGCCCGTGGAGGAGACCACGGTGGAGCAGGTGGCCCTGCACCGATAGAGGCTGCCGCCTGTGGAAGACCCCTGCCGGAGCAGATTCCGGGCTGGACCTGTAGCCCATGGAGAGGAGACCATGCAGGAACGGGTGACCTGGCAGGAGCTGCTGCCCGTGGGGGACCCAGGTTGGAGCAGTTTTCTCCTGAGGGGTGGACCCCATGGTACGGACCCATATCTGGAGCAGTTCTGGAAGAGCTGCTGCCTGTGGGAAGCCCACGCCGGATCAGTTCGTCAAGGACTGCATCCCGTGGGTGGGACCCCACAGCACAGGGGACAAGAGTAACCGAGAAGGAGCGGCGGAGAAGAAGCTCTATAGACTGACCATAACCCCCATTTCCCCATTCCCCTGCGCCGCTCAGGGGGACGAGGTGGAAGAGGGCAGATGGAGGGAAGGTGCTTTTGTTTTCTTTCCTTTGTTTCTCACTTCTCTAGCTTGTTAGTAATAAGTAATACATGTAAATCTTACTGATGCTGAGTCTGTTTTGTCCATCACGATTAGTACTCTGCAATCTCCTCATCCTTATCTCAACCCTTGAGCCTTTCTCATCGTATTTTCTTCCCATTCCTCTTTGAGGAGGGGGAGTAAGGGAACAGTTGTGGTGAAGCTTGGCCACCCACCTGAGTAAAACCACCACAAGAAGCTACTGCCATTATCTAGATACAGAACAACACGGACACCGTCCCAATGTTTCTCAGACACTGTTATTGGTACATCTTCAAGGTAATCTTCTCTAGACCAGCAAAGTTTAAAAGCTTTAAAATCAGTCTTTACAATTATAAAACACAGCATGAAGATGTGACCAAAGTCTCGGGGCTTCCTCCTGCCTCTATGTACTGAAAAATCCTGAAAAGTGTCCTGGTTTCAGTTAGAACAGAGTTAATTTTCTTCCTAGTGGCTGGTAGAATGCTATGTTTTGGCTTAGGATGAGAAGAGTGCTGATAACACCCCGATGTTTTAATTGCTGAAGAGCAGTGCTTATACCAAGCCAAGGACATCTCAGCCTTTTGCTCTGTCCTGCCAATGGGCAGGCTGGGGGTGCAGCAAGAGCTGGGAGGGGACAGACCCAGGACAGGTGACCCAAACTAGCCAAAGGGGTATTCCATACCATCTGACGTCATGCTAAACAATATATAGGGGTGGCTAGCCGGGGGAGGGGGACCGGACTGCTTGGGGTTAGGCTGGGCATCAGTCAGTGGGTGGTGAGCAATTGCATTGTGCATCACTTGTTTGTACACATTATTAGTAGTAGTACTATTATCATCATTGTATTATTATTATTATTATTATTATTGTTGTTGTTGTTGTTGTTGTTGTTGTTGTTGTTGTTGTTGTTGTTATTGTTATTATTATTATTTTCCTGTCTTAGTAAACTGCCTTTATCTCAACTCACGGGCTTCACTTTCCATTTCTCTCCCCCGTCCCAGAGAGGGAGGGGGGAGGGTGAGCGAACGGCTGTGTGGTGTTTAGCTGCCAGCCGGGTTAAACCATGACAAAAAGCCAGAATCAGACCTCTAACATCCATTCAAATGTAAAAGCAGCATGCAGAAAAATTCTTAAGAAATTGGAAAACAGTTCCTTGCTTAATGTAAGCATTTAAGCATGTGAATGGATCTAATATCTAAGAGTCCTGTACCATCTCAATGAAGTAGGACTTCAATGCACCTTGACAGATAGTTAGGAATCAGAAGATTGTCATTATATAACACTATCAAAATCCTTTCATACTGCCTTTTTTTTTTTTTCCTTTAGTCATAGGAAATATGGTTTTCAACATCTCAATGTACTTTCTTCATTTAATTATTAAATCACAATTTATGAAAACAATATTCTTTGTTCTTTGCAGGTCTCCCCTATGAGGAACGATGGCTGCTGCAGCATGTTTATTTAAGTACCATGCTTAAACTAGACTTTAGCTCTCACGTGACTCACTAGATCAGTTTTCATTGCCCCTGGCTCTTTTTTATTATTTACCTTGCTTCTGAAGTTTCTTGTAAGGAGATTAGAATCCTTTACCAAAAAAATACAGTGAGTTTGGGGCTCATTTAAAATGCAGTTATTCACCCTGCAAGGGAAGGATGAATAACTTGGTGGCTGAGTGACAAACCAGTTTTATTACCTCCCACCTGACACTGGCCAAGTTGATCATGTCTTATCCAGAGCAGGACAAAGGCAGAACAGGTGATGGTAGAAATAGGTAGAATAGATAGAAAAGGTGATGGAGGAGATGTAGAAAGAAACATGGTGAGTAAAAAATCATTTAAAGTATTTGAACCTGTCTGTAGAGTGATTATAAAGTGGATCTGTGGCTTTGAACAGGCTTCCAGAATGACTGGAGAACTTGCAACACAACAGAGGTCAGGAATGAGAATCTGTCTTTCAGACACTGCCATGATGTGAGGAGACATCTGCCAGCTCAGCAGGGAGTCTGAAGCTCAGGAAGATAATTGAAGCAGTAATAAAATCTCATTCAGGGACCCATTTTAGGTGAACGCTTTCCTCTGCAGCTACATTTCAGAGCAAGAGATGCCTTTCCTACATTTCAATATTAAGCAAATGATGCAGATACACCACTTTTCCCAGCCCCCCCTTACAGCATACTAAGCAAAACAGGCAGGTGGAGTCTTCTGAGCTAATGACAGACCAAAATCATCATCTAGCAACTGGTGGTGCCTAATAGTGCCTGCAGATGCCTAATTAACGTTCATAAAGCCCTTGAATCCCTTAGATGAAGTCAGTATGCAGTAAAAGCGTAAATTATTATTATTATGGGTAGCAATTGCTTCATAAAACAATTTTGACTATTCTAAAATATATATATATATATTTATTATTAATCCTTTTGCTAAAATGGAATTGAGTACAGACCAATTGAGAATGTTTGTGTTTTTTTTTTTCTCACACATTAATTATTGTGCTCTTGTGTAAACAGTAACAAACCCATGTTAAAAGGTGCTCAGGAGTCTGGATTTTTAACAAAATTTAAGAATCCTGTTAAATCTGACAGAAAGTTGGAAAAATGAGTAACCATCAATGTGTTTGAATATTTAAAGTGGGCTATTTGGTAATGCTACAGAGCTGCTAAGAGAATTCTATGTCCTTCCCTTGTCCCTGACCCTTAAACTGCTTTGCATCTGGATATTTAAATACTTTGCACAGCTATGTCTTGCAGATTTCGCCTTCTCCATCTGCTTGTTTGTTTTCCTGTTTTTATTTTTCAGGCTGCTATTTTGTGTAAGCAAAATTATCCTTTTATGTCTCCTTTGCCTCTGTTGTTTCTTCTAGATATTGTAAACTACAGCATCTGTGGTACTTCTGCCATTATAGATTTATATTCTACTAGGTAGTGTGGCATAAAGATAAGAAGCCTCAATTGGCTCTGATGTCATAGCCTTACATATAAATCCCCAAAGCTTTTATCTGAAATTTTCTAAAAAGTATAAATGTAAATGACTTCTGTTGATTTTTAAAAAATATTATATGATAGGTCAATAGAAAAAGAGAAGCTACTGGCTATTTCAGAGAAGAAAATTACTCTTTACATTAGCAAGAGTGACACTTTTTTTTTTTTTTTGTCAGATAATCTGAATGCTCTGACAACAAATCTTCCTCAAAATTGGATGCATGACCTGAGAAAAGTAAGGATTCAGATTTGAATTTTAAGTCATTTCTCTGTCTTTTGGTCAGCATGTTAGCAGAATGAAAGGATGTGTCATGACCTTTTTATCTTTGGAGAGTGGGAAGTAACTTCAGATTTAGAGATTTCTCTCTTATATCCTAGAAACTGGGCCAAATTTTTAACCTCTATCTCCCAGTTATTTTGGGATTACTGAACTTCACTTACTCTGAAGCATTTCATGAAGGAAGTTAAAAATTAACACCCCTGCTTAGCTATGTACTTGAAAATGATCTCAGTTTTCAGCACAGACTTCATTGCTTAGTTAGGTTGGTCCAAATATATATATATATATACATATATACATGTATATATATTATATATATATATATATTTTATTTTTTTTTGATGTGTTATATTCTAAGAATCTAATAATGACTTTTGATGGACTTTCTGGATGACTCTGTTAGGTCAGGATCATGGTACAATATACCAGAAACATGTATCACTGGACAAAAGATAGGGGCTACATACCAAAAAAAAAAAAAAAAAAAAAAAAAAAAAGTGTTTATAATATCCTACAGGTTTCATATTCATTAATGCAGCCCTAAACCTTTGTTCCCTGTGAGTGGTATCCTGTGCAAAGCCCCATCAATATGAAACAAATTGCAAGATCGGAATCTTACCTGCTTAGAGAAATCTCAGATTACCTTAAAATTTCATTGGTTGGGTTTTGTAATAGCTGTTATATCCTGTTGAATTGTGAAATATTAAGAACAAGGCAGCAAAACATGCCCTACTGAACAGAAGATTAGGAAACAGGAATCACCGAAATATAATTCTGGATGACCTTGGGGAGAGGGAGGGGAAAGAAGTTAGTGCCAAATTTTCACTGTAGGTTCTGATTGTGATCTTTGCCCTTTGACACAGCTTGCATTCAATTCATGGGTGGTACATGGAACTTCTAGCTCCCGTTGACTCCAGTGAAGTCTTAGAAAGGTCAAGAAGGCCTGAGCCTTGCAGAGAAATCTAACCATGCCCAGGTAATTCCTGATACTTCTAAAAATAATGAGCACACAACACTTTGAAACAGAAATCTTAAAGGGAAAAAACAACAACAATAACAACAACATAAAACAAAACAAACACAAACAAACAAACAAAAAAACAGTGTCAAGTTTAGGTTAAGTAACTTTTGGGTTCACATTTTATATATTCATCAGTTCTTCTAGATTCACAGACGTTACAGAAGTAATAATAATAATAAATTAATTTAGCTGATGTACATCTCCTGCTTATCACATATGTCTACTATTTCCCCACATTACCCTTGAACTGAACTCAGTAATTTGTGTTTGACAGAAGAAGGTAATTTTTGTCTGTATGACACCATTCATCAGCTCCTCCAAAGTCAGTGCCTGTAGCCTATTGTGTACCAATTTTAATTAGGCCATGGCTGTATTAATAGTTGTTCCTGGTTTGTTATATTGTATTTGTGCTTAGGAATCCCAGTTGTGAACCATTTTGTTCTCAGTGTTCAGAAGTGCAACAAGAATTTATTCCCTGCCTCCCACAGATTACAGTCTAAAATAATTCAATGGGGAACAGTAAAGTCCCCTTGCTTTCTTACAGTATTCCAAAGGCTAATGCTTTGGTTAGAAAAGTACTAATGGATTATTATTGCTAATACAAATTAAGGAAACATGAAAGTTTCAACACGATTTCTTAAAGAAAGGTTACTGAAAATGAAGAGCTAAGGTCTTGTTCTTATCCACTTTGGATTAAAGCTCTACCTAAGCAGTGCAAGGACAGGAAACATAATAAACTCACTGGCCAGCCCTGAGGACTGAGACACCTGAAAGTTTTTATATTGCCATCTCAGCAAGTGTCAATACTATACCTGAATGCAACTTTTGTTATATTTACTTGGTAAATTTCCCAGTTACTCTGAAGTGCGATGATTTATGTACCCATAATAATGGCACATTAGGAACAGTGTGTGTTTTAAAACTTGAGGCCATAGGTAACAGCTATTACAAGACAGCAAATGTTGGCTTTAGGGCTCCTGATACCAGTTCAAAATGCCAAAGACTGTTGATGCAAAAGGCTGATTCTAAGTCATGTCATTCAACTGTCTCCAATTTGTTCAAAAACAGCTGAAGGGTTAACTTTGTACCAACAGGCTTTATACCAGAGTAGGTATTGTTCATCTACATCATCCCATCTAATACCAGAACTGATACCTTTTGTTCTCCCATCTCTGGAAAAAAAAAAAAAAACAAAAAAAAACAAAAAAAAAACCCATAAAATAAATTCTGACGTGTGTACTCCGGCTAATGTGACAGAAATACAGATATCTGACTGAAGCTAAGCTGGATCACATTTGTTCATACAGGACAGATTTTGCTACTGATCATTAACAAACACAGCATTACTGATCACGTAACTGTAGTGTAACTGGTACTCTGAAGGAAGGAATAGCTTCTTCCCAATCAGTACCGATATGAACAACTCCAAGGTGTGCAGAAATACCCCCTGCCCCAACTGAAATACCTTCTCCTTCAATAGTGACTGAATCTGTTAGTGTCCTCCACCCAAACGAATAAGGCATACACTTAGCCTCAAACTGAAAAAAGGAAATAGTTTCATACCTGACAATGGGGTAGATTTTCACTTTCCCCACCCAAATACCACATGGGAAATGTTCTTGGTGGGTAGAGCTAAAACACACCCCAGATAATCCCATGATTGCTGTAGTAGCCAAAACATCCTACGGTGTTTTTACACCATGTCCTCCTAATGAACATTGTCCTGGGTGAGGCTCTGTGGCTGGCCTTGTTTTCCACATTCTGCAGTTATCTGTGTCATTTTCACAGAATTATATGAAAATGCTTTCCAGTTTTTACAGACTTCTTTGGAAGGAACTGTTTTTACCTACAACAAAAGAACGTTTTTGTTTCTTAACAGCACTGAGGATAAGCCAAAATGCACTAATTTCTCCTCACTTGTTAAACATTTAACATATCGCTACCCACACCCTGTAATTTCAAGACTCCTAGGATTTATATTTTAAAAGCATAATTGAAACTTCTTGGCAAGGGCCCTATGACTTCCAGTCAAAATGGTTATAGAAGAAAAATTCTCTGTCTTCATGTAAAAGAAATCCTGCCTAAATTAAAAGCAGTTGATATTAGCTCTTTTTCCCTTATAATAATATCTAGCATTAAGATGACAGCTAAAATATAAGGTGTTCTTGCATTTCAAGGGACTATGAAAGGAAAAAAGGTTGGTGGGGCTATTTTGGTGATGCCAAGCTGAACTCATATTTTGTCAAAACATCAGGTTGCCTATCTACATATGGAAATGCATTTTTAATTCAAAATTCATTCAACATCACACATATTAACCCATCATATCATAATAATTCAGTGTCTAATATAGCACAGAAAGAAAGATTCAAATGTTCTTATTGTGTGTGGTACACTGCAACAGCAGATTTCTTAAAATTTTAAAATAATTTAGATGAAATGAGCTCATCTACATTATCTCATTTTCAAGAAAATTGGATGTGGGAGTGTTGCTGGGGTTCATCACTTTTTTTCTGTCCTACACAAAAATATGTAAAATTTCTGGAGAGAAGCAGGTGTCCAAATCATATCAATGTAGAGGGCACTTGGCTTCCTATCTTTTAGCAAAATTGATCTGATGAAAGCAGTGCAGGGCAAATCTTGTGAGGAAACGTCAAACACCATAACCTATACTGAAATATATGCTTTTCTTTTTTAGTCTCTTAACCTTGAGTTTGTCTCAAGAGATCCTAGAAACTCCCTGTAGTTGTATTGCATCATTTATTTTTTACCCTGTTTCTGCCAGGCATAAAGCTACATCCCAACATCTTTGCCCACGGACCTGGGGCAGCAGCGATCCTGTTTCCTTTGCAGAACAGTCAATGAATTCCACAGCCAGCGTTTAGATAGCATTTAGATACCTACCAGTGCAACGAGTGTGCATCTCACTGCCCTCCTCTGCCAGTGAATGTCCCCTTTGTAATAACACCTGATGCATTATAATCCTTATTTCATACTACACATACTACAAACTCTTCTGATTTTGCTTGCAATCCAGTATTTTATTTTCTACACTTCATTAGCTTACAGGGAGAAAAAAAAATGTTGACTGTATTTCATTTCCTGCTCAGTGCTGTTGCCTGTAGGCAAGAGACTGATGGCAGATCTACAATGCCAGATCAAAATGAAAGGACAGATCTGAATTTAAATTATTTAAAGTAGTGTTCAAAAATGGGCTCTCCCTGCTACAATCTGTATTAACAATTATACAATTACACTGATGCAATGGTAGCTCTCAAAGAAAAGCATGAGATTCATGATGGGAACAAAAGCTGCTCATCAGTCTACCAAAGTCATGAAATTCTATTGCAAAGGAGATAAGAATGATCACTAATCTTATGATTTTCATAGTAGCTCTCCTAAAATAGCAATCACTTTCAGTAGGTAAATAAGATTTGGCCTTCCAGGAGATAAGAAAAAAATGTTGAAGCTAGGCTAATGAAAAGCCAAATGGAGTGCTGTGTTTGCCATGACCTTTTTTGTAACCTGTCATCATCCTTGCAGGTCTATCTGTAGTTGAGCTCTAAGACCCTTAGGCAGGGAAATTGTTAACTCATTAGAGAACGTTCCATCTTTGTTCTAGAATCTGTATAATGCTCAGCAAAAGCAACCTTAATCCCCTTAATACAAATAAAAATAAATAAAGGTATAATAGTAATGTGGGGTTGGAAGGGACTTCAAAGAACCAGTAGTCTATCTCTTGCTTTGAGGAAGAATTAAATGTGCCTATGCTATCCATGACAAGTTTGTCCAGACAGTTCCTAAAATGGACCTCTCTCTTTGAGAAAAAAATGGGATTTTTCATTTACTCTCTGAAGTCTGTCTCACTGCCTAGCTCTTCACATATTTAAAAAGTGTTTCCAATATATATTTAGAGGGCCTACACAAGGGGAAATACTAATTATGACAAAATATATTTAGTGTTTTGTTTTTTTCTTGGTCATGATGACTGTGATACACATGCTGCTAAGGCAAAGAGAGCCCCAAGTTTCAGCAGAACAGCTTCAGAACACATTATATCTGCACAATCAGAATGTTTCTAATGTCAGTGCCTGGTTTCATATGCAGCTATCACACACTAAATTACATTGAAAATGCAGTTAAGTAACTCAGAAGTAAGACTACATGAAATCTCAGTCAGAAATACAATAAAATATCATGAGTGTTTTCTCTCCTGTCCTTCCCCAAAGTCTGCATACACAATGTGCTCCCTCTGTTCTGTTCTGGAGGACAACGACATTTTTTGTCACAGTAAAGAAAATCATTTATTTTGTTTACATAGGTAGCGTGTCCTAGTCCATGATTTCATTGTTACTAATGTCTACCTTTGGAATTGCAACATGAAAGAGTATCAAACTATAAAAGCTTCAATATGTTTATTTTATTGTTGTTGTTTTGTTTGATGGTGTGTTTATTTGTTTTTAATATGAATCTATATTGGAAAAATATTCCGTGAAATAACCCACTGTAGAACAATATTTTGCTTTTTTCACTTGGAGTCCATTCAACACAAACATAAATGTCTTACTGATAGTTTGGAGGATATTCTTTGTAAATTTAGGTTAGCAAAACCCAAAATTATGTGTTGACAGACAGGAAAAGCTATGTCTAGATAGGACTGGTGAACATGTAGACATAACTGAGCTAACTCTAATCTTCTAATCATATACTTAATTCCTGTATTGATGGCAGAAAACCTAACAGAACATTGGTTTTGCTGTGAGCAAAAACCAAACTCAAGTGCAAGCACAATGTGCAAGCATAATTTTGAGCAAGCAGTATTATGCTTGCACAAAAACCTGAGCACTGACTTGGCAGCTGTATCCTATGGTATGCAGTTTTAAATTAAAACTAGCTTGCTATGTCTTACATGTGCTACAATCAAACTTCAGTCTGAAGCCTCCATATAGCCTAAATAGAAGCAGCAATGCATACTTCACACTTAGAAATGGTCTTCCAGCTCTGGCCATCTGTGGGACAGATGTGCAACACTCTTCTCACATCCATATCAAAAACAATTTCAGACCAACCTTCCTGTTGTGCTTCTTCTCAATGACCCATTTCCAGATCTCACTGATGGTAGCAGTCATTTTGCATGTTTTGCTTTGCACCCATTTTCACCCATCCTGTGCCTAGAACTCCCCCTTGGCTCTCTTGGCAATGTCCCTGATGGGCATAGAAGTGAACAGGCAGGAAGATGACAACTGTGGCACTGAAATGAATGTGTTTCTACTAAAATGGGAAAGCAGTGCAAACCATGAGAGTGTGTTAAATTTGATCACAAGAGCTGTTGGAACAGGAAAATCCTGGACTGTCAACATACTTTGGGATCTTGTCAGGTTTTATCAAACAGGCCCATAATCCCTTCACCACTATGAGAACCAAATGCACATCCTATTGCACTAATAATCTAGAACTGACTACAAGTTAATTGAAAATAAAACATAAGTCTTTAGTGCACTTTGCTGTGTGCATTTGCATAACCACTCTCCTCCCCCCCCTCCCCCCCCCCCCAAAGCTACTATTTTTATAATATGATCAAAATGCTGTAGAGAAGAAAACACATCAGGGTGCTCTGCCATCATATAAAATGTTTTTCACAACATAAAGTACTCATCCAGTGCTCCACACAGTTGCTAGACTTCACTTTCAGATGAGAAACTTCTGCATGGAGATGATTCTCCACAACATCCATTGGCCCTTCCAGCAAGCAATACCTACCACATGGCACCCAGTATGGACTGAAAAGCAGAGGAGGGCATGGGTCGGTGAAGCTGGAGCCTCACAGTGTTACCATTTAAAAGAAGAAAATGTGCTGCTTTTTTTCTGATAATATTTGAGTCAGAGCACTGCATATTATTACCCTACAAACTACCCTGCCGCTCTTTCTGTAGCTGTAAAATGAAATTAGAACCTGTGGAGAAGGGGGGGTCTAACATAGCTCATTGTGATTACGTGCATTTCGCCTAACATGTGTCCTCAAATCTTCTGGTGAAAGTAATTATGAAAGTGAAATATGCGGTAATATGTGATGACAAGTGCTTGTTTTCCTGCTCAGTCATTGCAGCTCTAGTGTGGGAATACTGAGTGCCATTTTCATATAAATATCTTGCTGTAACTTTGTTGTTGCTAATAATAATAATAAATGCCTGTTGTTAATACTATTAAAACTACTTAAGAGTTTGCAGTCTGTTTTATGAAGAAATAGTACGTGATGAAAAAGAAATGTCTTTATGTTAATCTACTGCTAACATGACTTGTAGAGCTTGTTGTTTGAAATAGAATTTTCGTACCAGTTTGGATAAACATTTTTTTTTCTCATTTATTGTGCCATGAAGGACAAGACTAGTAACTGTAGATAGACTAAATGAGAGCAATTACTGGTATTGCACAGATATCCATTACAGCCCAGCAGCATTAGCATGTTGTGTCCTGTTTGGTGAGAACTCAGCACAGTGGTATTTGCTAATGTTATTACTTCTACAGTCAAAAGAAAGTGAAATGGGTCAAGATTCAGGAACTGTAACCATAGTAATGAGTAGCAGGATTCCAGCGTTTAAAGGAGAACTGTTAATTTTTTGTAGGAGACAAAAAACAGGGAAATAATATATAGCAAAAACATAAAAGACTGTAGCCTAACAGCAATGCCAAAGGGCCCAAACCTGCTCCTAGTGAAATTATCTAAAATCCTATTAATTTATTGGAAAGAAGATCAGAGTTTAGTGTAGCAAGTAATAACATTTCTTTATGAACTAAAGTTGCTAGAGAGGATGCTCCTGTGCTTGGTGATCCAAGTAGTCCTAGCCAGAACACGAATCTCCCTTCCCCAGTCCTGGCCTTTCCATATGCCCAAACAGAAGGATGCACACTCCATTCTAAACAGTTAAAGATAGCCCTTGCCAAATGCAATAAAAGCTGTTTGCAGATTGAAACTTTGACAATTTCAGCATTTTTTTATTTTTTTATTTTTACTTTTACCAATAAGCAAACATTGCACAACTCTTGAAGAAAAGCCATGTTCCAGATTTTCCAAGAATTTTAAGAATCACATAGTTTAACTGCATTTTATTCCCATCATATCAGTTTCCAGGTAATGAAAGTGTATGATCTCATACCACACTACGTGAGATTGAAATTCTGTCCTCACACCTATGCAGTACTCATCAGTTCAGTAATGTTATATGAATAGAGTTTAGAACAGTTTGTTCTAAGATGCTAAGATTTCAGTCGCCTCCACTTTGACACATAGTCGAATCTAAATTGTAGGCAGCCAGCCAGAGAGCTGAATTTTTTTTGTTCTTTACAATTTACTTTTAACTCTTAGATTATTGATTTACTTATTAATCATTTTTTAAATATTCCTTAAATCTGATAGATATTTTTTAACTTGAGCAATTGTATTTGTATTCTCGAATTTTATTTCCAGGATGCTTTTTTACTTTTCCTTTAAGTGTATTATGCTACACCAGAGTGCAGTCTCTATCAGTGAATTTTCTGCATCAGAAAGTTAGACAGTTAGTCAAAATTAGCCATCAAAACTCTCCCCATCTGTGGAGAGAAGCAGTGAGGGCAATTGACCTGCCTTTCCTTAGCAGCTACATCAAGAGTCTAGACAAAGAGCTTAAAATAGACAGCTAGCTTTTAAATAGGCAATTCTGGATTAGGTAATTAACAAATAATAAAAATAAATGGTTGACAGCCTCCCAGGATGTTGCAGATGCTAGCTAAGGAACAAAGGTGCTTTGAGAATACTGAAATATTTGGTTAATACTGTTCAGCTCTTTCTACTTCTTCTGGTTCTTTTAAGTCCATCTCCCATTTTTGAGTTAGTTCACTTTTGATAGACATGAAGTATGGCTATAGGGTGGTTACATTCTTCTTTCTTTCTTGTTACAGACAAATCCTTGCAACCAGGAAATTTGGTGATGAAAATCAGGCTTCTGACAGAAATATTAGGTTTCCATTCTTCCAAGGGAAACTATGATGTTAGAGTTCTGGTGGTCTGCCTAACATTGCCTTATCTTAACCTCCAAACTCACTCTTGCTCCTTTCATTCTTAAGCAGCACTTGACCTGTACGTGATTATTTTTCTCAAAGTGGCTTTAAAATAAGTTTTACCCTTCTGTGCCCGTTGGCCCCCTCCATGTCTTTGCAGGCTTACTCAAGCATGAAACCTTCCTTACTGGACCTAAGATACTTCTGAGTCTTATCACCTCTCTGTAACATTCTGTCTCAAAGGTAGTCACCAAAAATCAATAGAATGCATATCTATAGGGCTTCCTGTATGTCCAATCAGTTTCTCCACAGATGTTACAGAAGACGGTACCAAAGGGGAACCGTTCAGAATGGAAGGAAATGATGCTTCAGAAGAGACTTTAGGCTGCTAACCTTAAATCTTCTCATGGTTGAAGTGAGAGAGCTGTTGTTTTATGGTATGACAACACAGTATGAACCCTGATCAACCAGATGTGACACATGGCTGCTGCTTTGTGAGGTGTTATATATGCCAACTGAGTTTGCTCACATGATAGATAAAATGCAAAATTCAGGTATTCTTTCAAAGCTTCATCTACTACTCAAGTTTACCTCATTCTGTGATCCCTTGTGGTCAGTCAGCGATCAGCTTGGGTGCAGGAAATAATGCTGAAATAAGAAAGGAGATAAAACCAAAATAAGAAACTGAAATCAAGCTCAGCATGCACACACACACGCACACGAGATGGTAAGCCTTGCTGAAGCACATGGTCAGAGATTTGTTTTTCAAAAAGACATAGAGCAATAGCTTTAAAATATTATTTTGGATTTCCTTAGAGGTTCCCTTTGTAAATCACACAAGATTGAAATAAACTATCAACTGCAATTTGTTAATTTTATATGCTTTACTCCCTATATCCAATTGTGAAAAGAAAACAAACAAACAAAAAAAAGGCTTTAGAACACATTAGTGATTTTTATGTGTTCTTGAAATTGATTTATTTTTTATTTTTTATTTTTTTGGTACTTAATCCTCTGAATGTTTGGAATGAGTATCCAGGAAAATGACTGCTACATGCCATGTAGTAATGAGCACAGTAAATCAATTACTAATAAACTGTTAGTCTGATTGAAACTCGAACATTTTCTAACGGGGAAAAAATAAAAAAATAAAAAAAATCTTTATAATCATTTCCTTACTGGTGCATATATATATATAAATACAATTTGAAATTACATTTACTGATTCTACAAAAAGAATTGCATTTAAAATAGCTGCAATAATTTGTACTATGCTAAGTATCACCAGAGTCTCCTGTCATTGTCATTTTTCTCTTTAACGTAAATGCACTGTAGAACACAATATTGCTTAAAAATAATATCACCAGTTTAGGAGGAAATGAAAAGGACTTCATCTGCCTGAAACTGCAAAGTTCAAGTTTGTGTTATGTGCACTGAGATTTTAGTAGAAATTAATGTTTGGAGCTTATCTTGAAGAACAAAACAAACTGAGCTGTGTTCATTTAAAGGGTTAATAGACTTCAGAGAGAATATAAGTGTATGTTGAGAACGTCAAGGGAATGAGAGTGGGAACAGAACGATATCACTGCTGTAAGCAGCGCTATCAACGCCAGAGTTTACAGTGTACTAATATGAGCTTCCGATGATATGAGCCGCACCAAAATTCCTGCAATATAATATCTAGTAATACTAAGCACAGTCTCAGAAAGTGTCTCTACACCAGTTAGAAAGAGCTTACACCTTTTCTTTAATCAGATAAGGAATGTTGTGATGGCACACTATGTTTACCCAACACCTAATGCCCTGAAATATCAACTTAAATACTTGTCAGATTGTTTTCAAAGAGACTGGATCTCACTAGTGACGCATTTGTCAGGAATGTCAGCTTGTATCGTTCCTATGACCCCAACACAGAGATATTCAGATTTACTAATGGACTCCTGGGAATAACTATGAAAATAACTGTTACCCTCTTGAGAAGAATAAGGAGAAAGAGCATGACCTACACTTATTTTGAAACTACAGATGTGCAACTGTCTGTACTGGCAGCATCAATTTAAAATGGGAAAAGGTGGCACTGATTGTAGCAGATTTGAGAAATATCTGTCCCACTTACATCTGGCTCAGAATTAGCCCTAAGATGAGTTGTACAGTAGGTCAGCAGTAGCAAAAGGTCAAGCAAGATGGGAGGGGGAATTTTACAGGAATTTAGGATTCCATACTAATGAGTTTGGAGAATTTGCAGGCTGAGATACTTTCTGCAAAGGAAGCCATATAGACTCAGAGCATAGACATCAATTTAGATTTATTTTTGTATTTCCTGCTAGCTGGTTATTAGAGTCTTTAATTCATTTTTCCCATGTTTTCAATGAAGAGAGAACTTACTAAAATAAAATATAAAATACCATCTTGAAAAGCCCTTTTTCTCTAGATTCACTGAGAATTGTACTGTATGCTGCAGTGTCAAATGTTTGCCAGATGTTTATTTTTTGTTTGTTTGATTTGGTTTTAGTTTTTTAATATAATTAGATATAAGGTTAGTAACAGAAGACTCTCTTCTCAATGGTAGCAAAATACAATAACAACTCCTTTCCAAAGGCTGTGTATTGCCTTTATTACTGATTAGACATTTTCACTGCAGTCTGCGTGATTCAGTAGATTTATATTTTTGAGGATTTCTGTATCATTTCAGCCAAAAATCTGTGAGTTCCATTCCAAAAATAATGGTGGACATAATATGGCATTTGACCTACATAGAAAACAAAGTTCTAGTGACCTTTTCTTTGATAAATTCAAAGTCTTTATTTTTTGGAGCATAGGCTTGCAAAAGGGTGGAAAATGAATTTTTTGCAAGATACATCTCCTTTGTTGTTCCTGCAAAAATCCATCAGAAACAAGTCAAAACAAGCCTTAACACATAAGTCAGACTTTGAAAAAAGTAAAGGCATTCTCCCAAAAGTGAGGCAGCTGCACTGCCTATACTTTGTTACTCCATCTTTCTGAGCCAAACTCTGGGCAGAATGAAACCAGTGCATGGGGATGGATGGATAATTGGGCAGGAGACAAAGCACATTAGTGAGAGACATAGATGGGAGATAAACATGTTAGGGATGGAGGGATGGATGGAAGGCAAACATTTTAGGGAGGTGAGGG